TCAATATGTAATACAACAAGCATTGTTAATTTCCTACCACGTTGTTTGTAACTCTGTATTGTCTGTACTGTTCTTTTGCTATTTTGTAAAAGGTTGTCTATTAATGTTTTCCTTTTATTTTTAAAATAAAAAAATAAATAAGAGGGCTTGGAACATTGCAATTGAATTAAAAGATTTGAGTGAGGAATTTAGTGTTTAAATAGTTAAACCAGTCTTTTGAGGGCACTTTTTAGGAAGAGCCACTCCTTGTAGGGTGTTAGGTGAAATTTGGAGGTGTTTATTGTGATGCAGAGATTTTTCTCACAAAAGTAATCTCTGTCACAATTTCAGTGTGTAAGACAGGATTAAAAACGAATTTAGAGAAAGTATGGGCATCTACCTTGCTGGTTACTTTTTCTAAATATTTACAGGGAATGAATTTACAGAAAGAGTACTTTGTTTTCCACATCTTCGCACGTGCTCTTTAGGGACAAGTTGCCCAGTTCGAGTTTCTGGTTCTTGGAGTCGACTGACTTATCTTTTCCACCCAGAGAGTCTAGAGCTGCTTGCACAACACTTCCAGCACAGTAAAGAAGAAACTATGGCCCTGCAGAAAAGCAGAGCACAGAATCGTAAGGCTTGCGCTCACCAGTTTTTTGTTTTGTTTTGTTTTCGGCTGCTATCTCAAAAAGCCAGAGTTTGCAGGAAGTTTGAAGCGGTAGATTCCCCTACGTGCTTTTTCTCATGGAAGCAGAGAGCCTGGGAATCTAGCAGAGAACGCGCCAGCGCTTAGGTGGGGATTAGCAAGGCCTCGTCGCTCGCGGCTCTGCCTTCGGAGCTCAGCGCTGCGCCTCTGCGTGGAGTCCAGGCAGCGGGGCGGCAGTGCCCGCGGGCCTCGGCGCGACCCCCGGCCGGGCTCAGCCCCATCGCCAGCCATCTTCACACACAGGTGGTGGGGGATAGACCTGGGCAGTCCCAGGGCGTCGTCTTGGGAAACCGTCTGGGGAAAGTCTGAGCTTCCCCGCAGAGCGCCTCCCTGGTGCTCACCCGGGCGCGGAGAGGTCCCGCAACCCCGACCGCAGACACCGCTCTCCGCCCACGATGTGCGCGGCTCTGCGCCCCTAGGCGGCGCTGCTCCCCGCAGGGCGGCTCAACCGCAGGACGGCCGCCCAACCTGGTCGGCAGCTCGACTGCGAGCCCGCCGGCCGGGTCCCCGCACCCCGGATGGGACTCAGAGCCCCGCAGCGGCGCAGCCCGTCGAGCTCGCCGCTCCCGGCCCGCGCGCTCCCCGGAGTCCGGAGCAGATTCCAGGTCGCGCCGAGGATGCGGGCGCCGCGAGGGAGGATGGGGGGCGGCGCGGCGGCGCTTCTGCGTCTGTGGGCGTCTTGCGGCGCGGCCGCGGTGAGGCTGCAGTATTTGGTGCTGGAGCAGACGGAGCGCGGCGCCGCGGTGGCGGACGTCGCCGCCGACTTGAAACTGCCGGCGGTCTCGCTGTCTTTGCGAAACTTTCGCCTCCTGTCCAGCTACAGCGAGCCCTACTTCGAGGTGGACTTATGCAGCGGCAGCTTGGTGGTCCGAGAGCCGGCCGACCGCGAGCGGCTGTGCGGGGCCAAAGCTGCCTTCGTCCTGACCTATGAGCTCATGTTGGAGGACGCCCTGGAGCTGCACAAGGTGCACGTCCACGTCCTGGACGCCAACGACAACTCATCTCTCTTCCTTGCCGGGGACGTGCGGCTGCTCATCCCCTAGTTCCTCACACCTGGAGCCCGGTTTACACTTCCGAATGCCCAAGACGCAGAGTAGAGAAGCAACGGGTTGCTGAGGACAGCCTAAGCCCCAGCCAACACTTTCGCCTGGACATGGGGTCGCAGGGCGACGGCACCGAATACCCAGAGCTGGTGTAGGAGAAAGCGCTGGATCGCGAGCAGCGTGACACTCATCTGCTGGTGCTCACAGCTCTGGACAGCGGGCTGCCCGAGCTCTCCGGAGATGGGCAAGTCACTGTCATCGTGGTGGACACGAATGGCAATACGCAGGTGTTTGAACGCTCCGTGTACTGCACCAAGGTTCCGGAGACTGCTCCCGAGGGGGACTGTGTTATTCTGAGTCCAGGCCTCAGATCCGGATGAGGGCTCCAGTGGGGAATACTGGTACGCCTTAAGGAATAGCACAAGAGAAGAGCTGCGACATCTCTTTCATGTGCACCCTAAAAGTGGGGAGGTGCAGGTGGCTGCTTCCCTTGGTACACCTGAAGCGCTGCTGGAGGCGTACATCGAGGCGAGGGAGGAAGGAGCCTTTGGCTTATCGAGCACTACCTAGCTGCTGGTGGAAGTGACTGACGTGAATGATCACGCTCAGGAGGTGCATTTCCTGACTCTCTCCAGCCCAGTAGCCGAGGATGCTGCCCCTGGTACAGTGATTGCCCTACTCAGTGTAAAGGATGAGGACCATGGTCCCAATGGTTGAGTCACTTGTAGTATGTCTGGCAGAGGTCCTTTTCAGCTGAAGGCGTCTTTTGACAACTACTACAGTTTACTGACTGATGGGCCCCTGGACCGGGAGCGAATGAGTGAATACCAGGTCCTGATTACCGCCTCGGATGGTGGCTCACCCCTACTCAGCACCCAAAGGACACTCACTGTGTCAGTTGCTGATGTGAATGACAATACACCAAGATTTGCTCAACCTCAACAGGAACATTTTGTGGCTAAAAACAATGGCCCCGGGGCCTCTCTAGGTCAGGTGTTTGCCCAGGACTTACACTTGGGGAAGAATGGCCTTGTCTTTTATGAGCTGTTGGATATCATCTCTGAAGGGATGCCAGCCACTAGCTTGGTGGCAGTGGAACCATCCAGTGGTGCTATCACTGCCAAAACTTCTTTTGACTTTGAGCAACTCAGGGGATTTAGTTTCCAAGCGGAAGGAAAGGATGGTGGCATTTCTTCTAGAAGTGCAACAGTGACTGTGAACTTGTTTGTGGTAGACAGGAATGACAATGCTCTGGTTATCTTGTTTCCTCTCCCCAGAAATGGCTCAAACCCTGTAGAAATTGTGCCCCACTCTGCCAGAAATGGACACTTGGTCACGAAAGTGGTAGCAGAGGATGCAAACAGTGGTTCCAATGCCTGGCTTTCCTACCACATCTCTCACGCTTCTGACTCTAGCCTTTTCAGAATTTCAGCCAGTGTGGGAGAGCTGCGTACTGCATGCTTGGTTCTTTCTACTGACACAGTTAAGCAGAGGGTGATGATAGTGCTTCGGGACCATGGAGACTCACCACTGTCCTCTTCTGTTGTTCTTGGCATGCTATTGAGTAATTTTACACTGTAGGTCCTTCCAGACTTTGAACCAGGAGGGCAGCTTACTGCTCAGAACTTGTATTTAATAATTTCCCTGGCCTGCATTTCCTTTTTATTTTTGGGGTGTTTACTTTTCTTCATGTGTATCAGGTTGAGCCAGCCTCTAGTTTCTTGCTCCTAGAGCTGCTGTCACACTCCAGAGGATCTGAGGCATAGAAGACAGGTAGCTTCTAACTCTTGCATGAAGTCAGCCACAATAGATGTCACTACAGTGGAGAGGCTTTCTCAAACATATGTCTATTGAGCCTCTCTGGGACTTGGCTCTGACAATAACAGTTTGTTGTTGCATGGGGAATACAATGCTGCTGACCTAAGAAATCTGGTCACTGGTGTAGGACTGAATTTGCTAATCTCCTGCACTGAGAATTGGAACAGGAAAGGGGATCATGCACATGTCAGTGCTATGGTAAGCAGATTTTATGGGATCTGATTCGTTTGGCTAAGAGATGGCTGTTAGCTGTGTTCTGAAATGCTTCTTAGATGATCCTTTGGTAACATTTAATCCATTGAGTACTTCTTTTTAGCATATCCTGTGTCAAAAATTCTGGGAGCATAAAAGTATTAGAGGATTGTCATAGGCCTCAAAAGAACTTATAGCTTATTTTTGAGAAGCAAGGGTAAAACATTGAAACCTATTAAAATAAATGGTATGTAACATAAAGGTCTCACATTAAAGATAGTAAAGTGCCAAAATGTTTCATGGGTAACTAATATCTGTCAAATACTCTGATACTTAACGTGAAGAATGAAAAATGTGTAAGAGTCTTTTTATTCTATGAGCAAAATATCATGGAAGAGGTATTTTTTCAAACCATTATGATACGATATGTTATGAAAAAATGATGATAACCACAAGAGATCTAAAAATAAATTGAAGTGGGTATTGGAAGAGAGAGAGAGAGAGAAAGAGAGAGAGAGAGAGAGAGAGAGAGAGAGAGAGAGAGAGAGAGAGAAAGAGACAGAGAGAAAGACAGAACATGAAAGAACATCTGGGTGGGGAGGAGGGAATAGGAGGTTTTAAGAGAGATAGCATTTGATTTGGACCTTGAATGATATACCACTTAATGAAATGTGGTGTGTTCTCTAACCCATGCTTTTCATTTATACCATTTGGTATGATAGTTTTCTTTAAGAAAGGCACTTCAAAGTATAGGTAATGGTTCTACAGCAATGTTTGTAAGTACATAGAAATTATAAACATGTCTCAACACTTATTTGTACTGACAGAAGATAATACAGTACTACCTGGTATAGAACTTGATAGCCTTTTATATTTTAGTAATATATTTTATGAGAAGAAAGATGAATAATTTTATGTCAGAAATATTTATGTGTTCAAGGGTGCATTTACTATTCAAATCCACTCAACTTGGACTTAATTTACTTGTTATTTTAGAAGCCAAATATATTTAGCAAATAAGTAAATACCATATTTGAGAGTAATGCAGCTAATGCAAGTTAAGTGATTCAAATAGTTCAGTTTTATGACTGTTAGCATTTCAAAACTTTTTGAATGGAGTCAGGGCAGCATTTTTAAAGCAATTTTGCACAATTACTTTTCTAACTTCTTATAGAAATCGTGGATAGAAGAGAAGGAGGTAGGCAGAAATTTGGAAAGGAAAGTGAAGCATTTCTTGTTTTACCTTTTTGGGCAATAGGGGGAAAGAAGGTTTTGATTATTTTCCTTTAAATAATAATGTTAACAACAAATTTTTGCATTTAATATTGTCACATGAAACAATAGCACCCAATCTATATGTTTAGTAAGTTCAATGACTGAATAAATAAGTATGCAAATATATTAATTGGATGGTAGTGTTCAATATAGAGGGAAATATTTTAACCATATTTCTATGGGTACATATAGATAATAGTCGCTTCAAAGTGTGTTGTTTCCATGATTATTTTCTTCCTCCTGAGATATAGTCATGAAGCAACATAGTGGAGAGATATTTTGGCCCTAGAATAGTATGAAAAACTTCCATGTTATATTTGGGGGGGCTAAGCATGCGTTGAATTCTGGGGATGATAAACGGATAAACAGGATCACACATCATTATGTTATAAAATTTGCAGTGAATGTTACTTTCAGGATCTCAGTTAATTTTAGGGGAGAAAACTGGTGCACTCAAATGTTAAAATTTCAAGTATCAAAACTCTTAATATATGAACACTTTTTCTATCAAGAAAATTTACCATTTATTTTATTTCATTGCTCTCTGTAACAAACAGAGATGAGAACACCAGTAGTCCCTTTGAGGTTTAGGAGGCAGAAATTGAATGAGAAACATATTTTGGATACAGAAAAGAAGTCAAGGGGCTGGGGGTTTAGCTCAACAGCACAGTGCCTGCCTGGCAAGTGCAAGGTCATGAGTTTGATTCCCGGTACCAGAAAAAAAAAAAAAAAAAAAA